GACGATGATACATGACGATGATACATGACGATGATACATGACGATGATACATGACGATGATACATGATGATACATGACAATGATACATGATGATACATGACAATGATACTTGATAATACATGATGATATGATATATGATGATACATGATGATGATATATGATAATGATACATGATGATGTTCTGATAAATTTAGTACATTATCTATCATTTAGTCTTGCAGTTATGTATATACTGCAAACATGTTTCATCAGGCAAGAATAACATAGATCTGGCTTACCTTTTCTAGATCACCGTTTTTACTTGCATCTATCATCACTGTATTAAAAACAAACCAATGATAACATTACAAGTGTCGCTTATTATATCCGTCCGTCTGTCTGTCTGTCTAATAAATTTGACGATAATCAATTGTTCAACTTGCGGTCCATACGTACGGTAACCGTTATGAGTAATTAACTAAACCGCTTTTCATGTTTCCAGCTGAGTTGACCTTCAGAACAAACTCAAGTCAACCAATCAAAACTGAGGATTCGACAAGGTATTTGGATTAGCATTTCCCATGATTCTGAGCGACCCTCACTGACAAGACAATGAAAAAAATGACGGACAAAGCTTTGTGTGGTACAGATACGAAGAATTAAGAGCCATAATACATTTTTTATTCCTTCAAAAAATGCAATATAAAAGCAAACCAAAAATAGTTGACCCAGAATTCCTTTCGGGGGGACAAGATCAACTCAGCTGGTTCAGTCGCACCACGTTTTTTCAGTTACAAGGGTCTGAGTCAGTAAACCTTTGATTGACATACTTACGCTGTTCATTTCGTTTTGCGTCAGATATTTTGACCCTATAATACAAAAAAATATCAATTAAGGATTGAACCCGGAATTTTCAATCGTAACCTGAGATAGCGCAGATGAAGAAAAACCTTATTTTCTATTTATGCTGATTGTTTTTCTTTCTTCTCTCCCTTTCCTTTTTAAGATAACGAAGGAAGGGGAATGGAGGGGAAAGCAATCTCAGGTGCACTGAGAATGCCGGGATAATTCGAGGTCTGTACTGTATGACGCATTGCATTGCACAGCGATAACAGAGATACTATCATCGTGTACGGATTAACGAAGTACGTCATAGGTTTCCGAACACATGAGTGGGTATTTTGGTTCTCCTCAATTATAAAAAAATTAAGTGACGACACCAAGAATCGAACTCGGCACCTTTGGCACCAAAGAACTACTACAATGCCAACCCCAACCCTAACCCTAAACCTAACCCCTAGACCACGAAGTGAATTCGGTTGGGTGGTCTCATCTTTTAGTCATATTTAAACGATGTATCATCAGCGCGTGCACATATATTTATTATAGTTTAATTTATGCTATCGTAGGGTACGACTACTAGCCGACTACTCGAAATTTGAATTTGAATAGAATTCCCCTGACAATTCCCGTGCACGACGATACAACCATAACAAAACCTGTACTAGCAGCATTCTTGTTGGGTCAAGTTCTTACCAAACGTGATTCTGATCTTCTTTTACAGACAAGGAGAAGGTTTCTTTCCTGAATTAAAGAAAAGGTTAAATTATGACGTGAAATAATAAGTTTTTATAAATATCAGCTAAGATCACGTGATATTTTTCCTTACATTCTTTTTTTCCTTTCTGATCTACTTACTCATCTTGTACTAATGAAAACGGAACTAAATATAAATAGATACCGCTATAACGGTTTTATCGACCTGGTTTTCACTTGCGACGGAGTCTGAGTCGAAATCAGTTCATATGTAAAAAAAAAAACGCTATTTCTTCGATCATGCGCAGTAAGAGCAAAAGCGCTCTGGGCTCGAGTGTCATATGAGATATGTGAGCCCAGATTGATGGGCTTCCTGTGTTACGGTACGTACCCTGTTGGTGTACAAGGCACTGAGTATGACGTAGGACCATTCTTGGCTTGAGGATTCATTTTACTGTCCGGGAAGGGGCTGGAAGGTGCGTCTGTATCTTTGATTGTCGCGGGTAAACTAGATACGCTAACGGTGTCGCTTGGCCTATAGAAATAATAAGAAATAAGTTGATGACAAGCGATACGCTAACCGTTTCAGTTGGCCTTTTCATAATTACGCCCCGTCCACACGTATCCGCAATTTTTTTTTTACGAATACGGGTTGTGTCCACACGTGTCCGGAAATTTTTATGTCCGTATCTGCAAATTTTACGAAAACGGATACGTGTGGACGGTGAAAACGATTCGAATACGCTGCGTGTGGACGCAAACATCTTCGTATCCGCAAAATAAAAATTTGCGGATACAAACATTTCCGGATACGCGTGGACGGGGCCTTAATGGAGCGGAATGGTTTGGAAACTCCATAGAACAAAGCTATTGTTTTGCGTTTGATGTTGAACCGTACCACCACGTGATACTGACCGTGCACAATGAACCAAAGCAAGTATGGCTGAAAATACTCATTTCCTTATTATTTTCATGTATGAACATTTTGAAAGTGAAAACTTTCATTCAATAACCACAAACTATGCGGATAAATATTTCCGCGCAAATACAGCTAAGTTACTAGATGATAAATATGAAAGCATGGAAAAAGGCACTTTCCTTTTCAATAAACAATTTGTATTTATCATATAGGATTAATTAACAAATAATAAGTATTTTATAACGTTTTTTAGGGTTAAAAACTTCTATATTCCCGAATACTATGAACAAACGGAGCAATGTTTCCTTCTCTGTGCACGGTCAACGTCATATAACAATGGATAAACTATGGCCTTTTCGAAAAAAAAATAAATTAACGAAAGAAAAGAAAAGAAAAAAGAAAAGTGAAATGACAAGAATATAGAATATATAGGAAAGGAAAAAGAATGGTTCGGGATGAAAAAGGAATGAACGAATGAAAAACCTGGGGAAATATCATTGGAACTTAAAAAGCAATGCACATAGAAAAGAGAAATGAACAACGAAGAATAAAGGATGGAAACAGAAGGTAAAAATAATATGGGATAAGGAAAGGAGAGTGAGAAAATGTCCCAGTTTTAGACGTAAGATAATGCGTCGGTGTTAAAAGACGAAAGACAGGTGATCACTGTCAAAAATATATACAGTCAATGTCATTAACGYTGTCCACCGAAAAAAGACATTTACACATTCACACATTTACACATTTAGACTAAAAGAAATATCACGTGTTTCCTCGAACGTTCTGGCATAAAACAAACGCTGAAATACCATTCTCTATCTTAAATCCTCACTAAATGGTCGGGGGATTCTGGATTTTCGATTCACGAGTTGAATTTTAAATTTAAAGTTCAGGCTGACGCACACGAGGCAAAGAATACATAATGAAACACGTGATATTTCTTTTAGTCTAAATGTCTAAATGTCTTTTTTTGGTGGACAACGTTAATGACATTGACTGTATATCTATTATAGACAATCAACATTTTTTGAAGCTTTAAGTCAAGGGCTTTATCACTGTCTTTTGGTGGAAACTTGAACCATGAAAACCATGAGTTTTGTTACTTTTTTGTATTGTAAATCATTCCTTGAGCCAATCGATTGAACACAATGTTTCATTTTAGAGGGGTTGCAACAGTAAAAAGTTCTGGAAATAATAACTTGAAACTTTAACTTTAAGATTAAAATTCAACCCAACTTACTTTTTTTGAGTCTTTCGATTTAAGTCCACGATGAACACTCCACCATCGAGAATATCAACAACATTATAAATGTTTTCCTATAAACACAGACACAGATGTCAAAAACACTATAAACAAGTGGGATAATACTTCATGTATAATAATTCTTGTTATGGAATTGCTATGTTTTCTGTCCGGGTCCATTAGTACCTGTCTTACATGAAGTAGTACCTAACAGGTGTAAAGTTAGTTTTCGTGCCAAGCAATGATGATAAACAAGCCTGTTACCTGGGCAACGTCAACTCTGTAGACTCGATCAGGATAAGTGGCTGAATAGAGGAAGAATAGTGAACAATGAGAACAATACAATACCCGTGCTTGACCACCTGTCAATAAGCCAGTTCATAGTTTAAGAATCGTTCTTAGTGCGCATTCAAACGACATTGACATTGACAGGCACGCATCCCAAGCAGTCATGATTACACGGCTGGCGTGTGCATTCAACTCAGTAAGGTCTAGTTCAGGCCCCGTCCACACGTATCCGCAAATTTTTTTTTTGCGGATACGGGTTGCGTCCACACGTGTCTGTAAATTTTTGTGTCCGTATCCGCAAATTTTACGAAAACGGATACGTGTGGACGGTGAAAACGATTCGAATACGCTGCGTGTGGACGCAAACATTTTTGTATCCGCAAAAAATAATTTGCGGATACAAAAATTTCCGGATACGTGTGGACGGGGCCTCAGACGTTGAATGATGTGTTTAATCTAATTTTTGAGGTCCATTCAATTCGATAGAAATTCCCTACTTATTCTCTCCTGATTTGTTTCTTACATTACAGTGAGGACACTCAAACCGTGAACACTTCCAGTTTCTTTTGTCATATTTTCAAAATGCGTACAGACTGTAAAGCATCGATCGAGCCAATTCTTCATTTGCACGTTACGTCATCCCGGCCATGTTGGTACCATTTAAAAAAAGATTTCTCCTTAGCATCCATTGCTAACGGTACCACAATGGCCGCCATGTTTTTTTGTCTTTTAACTCTTTTGGGAATGCTTGCAACCCATCAATCGATTGGAGATATGATTTATTTTGATCACTCAGTGTATCTGAACTCAATGCTTCATTTTTGAGGGTTTGAAACAGTAGAAAGTTAAAAAAATAGTAACCTGAAAGAAACTCGAAGTATTCACGTTTCGAGTGTCTTCACTGTAATAAATATTCATTCTTGTTTCTCGTTCTTTTCTAATAATATTTCTCATAACGTGAAGAGGTACGCAAGGGGGAGCTATAAAATAGATAGATGTACTTACTATCCAAGAAGCACCAGTCATCTGACAGACAGGATTTCTATCAAAGACAACAAGTGAATGTTGATGTTAAAATCTATACAAACAAGCTTGAGTAAGCAAGTAAACAAACAAACAAATAAATAAATGGTATCTTCCATCCATGGATACCATTATCTCATTTTTCATTTATTATTTATATTATTTATATTTATTGATTCATATTAATCTTATTAATATAAATAATATTAATTTATTGATTTATATTGAGCTATGTCTAACTAACCAGCATGTTGTATGCTATATTATATAATACTGAGTTTCAATAAATATAATGATGATGACGACGATGACGATGATGATGATAAACTACTACCCACCCCTCCCTTAATGCAAAACGTTAACTCACATCTTCCTCCTCTTCTTCCATACTAAACCTCTCGATCCAGGCCCTCATTTGTTCTAGATCAGAATCAGGCTCGATAGTAGTGGTGGCGAGAATTGATGCTGAAAAAAACAAAAAGTACTTAGCGAGGACTTCTTTTATATTCTATAAAAAGTAGAGCAGAGCAGAGCAGAGCATGGGAGGACAGAGGAAATATAAAATAACAAAAGACAAGGCGGCCATGTTGGATGATATAACAAAGGAGGTTGATGACGAATCTTTTGCTAAATTCATCCAACATGGTGGCTGTGAAATCCATCCATATAAAGTATAGCATCAAGAGACCTACCAGACTCTCTTAATTTAGAGATGTCATAACAGTGCTTTTCGTAGTCTTGGAACTCAACGCAGTAGATTTGTACTTTAACAGTTTCAATACATGGCATTGGACTGGAAAAAAATCAAGCCAGATCGTTACATAACGTTACATAGAATAAATAAATAAATAAATCACTTTTTTTATTTAAGTGTGTAGTCGTTCTAGCGCTTTCGCACTAATTGGGGACACTTTTCACTTACACGCACTACCACTACATTTAATATTCTATGCACACAACGCTCAACTCACATTTTGATTTTTATGGAGGGAGGAAACCGGAGAACCCGGAGAAAACCCTCGTAGCACAGGAGAGAACAACACATCAAACAAACTCAATTCACATGTGGCGACCGCAGGGCTCGAACCAGCGACCCAACCCGTTGGATTCACAGCGGTGAAAGACGACCCGTAAGCCGCGAACGCCACCCATGCTACCCGTAGAGAAAGAAAGAGAGTCACAAGTTTGACACCCACTGCCATTAGGCCACTTAAAAATCGAGCAATAGACTCGGGCGAGTTTTGAATAGACAGTTTTCTCAAGGTTGCGTGCGCATCCAACTTGACGGGACACAAAACTGAAAAACGCAAATTCAGTAAAATCGAGAAGCCAGTTTTATATTTAGAGAGGAGAATAATCAATTTTATGAATTGTTATCGAAAAAAAAATCTCATTATAAAGCTTCTGTTCTGGTATCGTGGTCGTCAAGTTCCTTAAATTTGGATGCGCACACAACCTTGAGAAAACCTTGAGTCTATTTCTATCCCGGTCTATCTTATTAGGAAAAACATTTTGTAATTTGAGAAAGCACCTCAATATTAGTATGTCTGGTAAAGCTGGACATAATAGGATGAAAAAAAAAAAAAAAAAAAAAAAAACATACAAAAAAAAAAAAAAAAAAAAAATCCAGAATAGACACCTTGCATGTGCATCAAAGCAGCTTGATCTTGGGGACAAAACAAAAGAATTCCAATCTCCTGAGAATTGGAACCTATTGTTTTGTCCCCCATCCAGATTGCGCACATTCCAAAATACTGCAAGGGGTCGAGACCTCGTCGGCTCGGGCCTAATGTTTTCTGAATTCAGACCACCTGTTCCCTAGAGACCTATTCCCTAGAGAATAAGATTCTTTGTTTGTGTTGTATCCGTCATTCATGTGCCTTCTTATGTGAAACTGTTAAACAAAGAAATAATACTCTAGGGAATGACACGTGGTCTGAAATGGGCAAAACATTGGATAAGGCTTATAGGCCATACTCACGCAGCAGCCGTGTTTATTCTCAAGCACTTGAATGTGAGACTACGAGTGGGAAGATCTATTGTTCTAGTCAACATGCTATTACTGATGATAATCAACTACTGTGAGTACTTACTCTGCACTACTGGACGATCCCAGTCCTCGTCTCTGTAAAACACAGTCAATGACAAAAACAATTACTGGTCAACGTTCAACTTAAGAGTTGAGTTAAAAAGGTTCACTCTATGAAATAAAATCTGAGGATTGAACGGTGGACTACTAGCTCCGATAGCCGCGCACTAACCAATTGAGCTATGCCTGCATCAATCGCAGTGTGTTTATGACATTGCCGGAAAACACAAAGTTTTGACGTCCACCAAAACCTACTTCGTCGCGACGGCAAACTGTATGATATCACGAGTGCGATTGAAAGGCACTGTAAATGCATTAACGGAAAAGCACTTACCACAAACTATCAGTCTGCACATATAGCTTGTATCGATGCTTATATGTTTATATAAGGGTTGATAATTAAAATGGCGCCGGCGTCTTAAAGTACTGTACGCATTACCTTGGTTTTCTGGAGCATGTCGACTTGATTTCGTCTTGATATTCTGATTCTTGAAGGCGCAAGTCGACATGGTTCTGTTAACAGCAAAAACTTGTTGTTTCAGGGTTCCATCTGTGAGTTAGCCATGCCCTGACTTAGATCAGCCCAGAGGTTGTTTCAGTGTTCGTTCTGTGAGTTATAGCCATGCCCTGACTTAGATCAGCCCAGAGGTTGTTTCAGGGTTTGATCTGTGAGTTATAGCCATGCCCTGACTTAGATCAGCCCAGAGGTTGTTTCAGTGTTCGTTCTGTGAATCATAGCCATGCCCTGACTTAGATCAGTCCAAAGGTTTTTTTCAGGATATGGATAAAATTCGTAAGCTTTTCGAACAATAGGCAATAGCACTTTTCACGTTTCTACGACCCAGACAGTTGGACATCTGACAGTGTCAGCCCAGAATTAGAACTTGTCTGGTCAAATCTTTGCGTTGCCGGTCATTTTGACCAGAAACAAAGTATGACCAAGTTGAAACTAATCTGGCTGGTAACCATGACCGGCAAATGACTGGCTATTATCTTAAGCCCTCTGGAAATGCTGCAAATTCTGCGTCCTGGTTTCTGCCCATCGCCGACAATTAACGCGGTCTAAGAATGTTTGTTTGACGGAAAGCAAATACGTGGTTGAAATAACCGAGTAAATATGTGTATGAGAATATATACGAAATATATATTTGTATTGTGGTTGTAATGTACCAAATTGAGCTGATCCTCGCAGTGTATGAAGCAACTTATGCAGCAGCAAATTTGAAAGACTCAGAAAAAATTCTGAGTCTTGAACGGGAAGTCTTTCAAATTTGCAGCTGCACAAGTTGCTTCATATACTGCGAGGATCAGCTCAATTTGATATAACCGAGTAACTTAAAAAAGTGGTAGTAATATTATAGCATATTACCTCCGTCTACTTGCATAGGGATCGTCTTACTGGTAACCAGTATTGCTTCTTTACATTGTGCAATTCTTTCACCATGACCACCCACTCTAGTCGCGGCCTTCATCAAACAACCAAACGAAACAATTAAGATCAAATATAAACTTTTCAAGGAGGGGTGGAGCTAGGGTTGGGACTAAAGGATGGATGAAATGGAGGAATAGGCAATTTGCATCAAACAGTCACGTGCTGATTCAATTCAGCCAAAGGTCTCTTGTGGAAAGCCTTTCTGGTTGACAAACTATCTTCAAATCGAAAGTATCGTATGGGGACAAAATTATTTTGGAAAAGGTTTTAGATATGACATTCAGGGGTGGATCCAGGAATTTGTTCAGGGAGGGGTGCTGCGCACAAAGTTAACCCAGTCAGGGGTGCACCCCTTAGAATCAAAGGGAAAAACATCATTTTGTATTGGTTATCTTCGAAGTAGGGGCACAAAGTCGAACCAGGGAGGGGTGCGCAACCCCTGCACCCCTCCCCTGGATCCGCCACTGACATTAGTAATCCAGCAGAAGTTATTCGAGTACTAAGGAAGTCTGATTTTTTGCCATCCAGTTACAGTCACATGATTAATTCCTGCAAATGGCCTATTCACCCCAGAAACAAATCTCAAACGGTAAAGGAACCCCATTAAAACATACCTTTAAAAAATAATCATCAAAAACAAAGAAAGAAAGCTGGGTTCCCTGTGTTTCAGAGCTTAACCAGACAGGGAGGGTAGGGGAGGTGGTGCGCTCACATCTAATAAACCTCAGTCTACTGGATGCAACATGGCCTCTATAGAAAACGTTCTTAGGGTCATCACGCCGTCACGCAACATTGGTGGTGCAGTGGGGTGGTTGGTGGTGCGCTCACATCCAATAAACCTCAGTCTACTGGATGCAACATGGCCTCTATAGAAAACGTTCTTAGAGTCGTCATGTCGTCACGCAACGTTGGTGGTGCAGTGGGGTGGTTGGTGGTGCACTCACTTCTAATAAACTTCGATCTACTGGATGCAATATGGCCTCTATAGCAAACTTTCTTAGGGTCGTCACGTCGTCAAGTAATGTTTCTCTCCCCATTTGTGTGACAACCATAAGAACGTCTGCTATGAAGTCTAAATGCGACACTGTTTTTCTACAAGATTGTCCATTTTTTTCGTCGCAACTGACGTAATGGTGAAAAACAGTGGATGAAAGGAAACAAAAATGGGATCAAAGAAACGAGACATAAAAGTCTTACCAGTGAAGATGAAGAGAAACCAATGATTTCAATCAGACCATCTTCATTGCTTTGTGGGAAGAAATCCTGGCAAAATATGATCAATAGAAATATATTAAAAACATACTAACTTCAATCTAATGGGAATCGATATTACGTCACTATTGAATAGTTGTTGGTAGAGCATATCTTACGTTGTCTCTTCCAGGGTTACCCCAAGGTGATGTTCCAGCACCATATCTGGAAAAGCAAAGAAAATGTGAATGATGTACCTTATATTGCTGGTTTATAATCATTCCCAAGAGAATGAAATAACAGCAGAGTAGGGGAGGGAAGGGGAGGGAAGGGCATAGGCATTCCCAAAGAATATAATAACAAAAGACACGGTGGCCATGTTGGAGGATATAACATGAGAGACTGACAACGAATCTTTTGATAAATTCATCCAACATGGCTGTGTGAAACATGATCAATTCCACAAAGAGTTGATAAGAAGTACTAACTGGATTACTGTTGACTTACTTGGAGATATTAAGAAACAAAAGACAGAGAGGTTTAATTTCAAGAAGTTTGTCTGTCAGATTAACACCATCACACTGCAAGATAAAGTTCATATCATCTATTGGTTATAGTCATATTGAACTTTTGAAAATGCTTTCTGCAGTGATTTAATTTCATGTAAAATGCTTAATATTTTTATGCCAAACGATGTATTGAGTACCTCTAGTTTGGAATATTTGTAGAAGTCCTTGGCTTTTCCTTGTAGAAACGTCGTACTACTTGCCTGTAAGTAATCAAAAGATAAACTTTATTTCTTTTTCTAGGAAAACAACTTATACTGGGTGGAGTCAGGCATCATACAGATCTGAGGCTGAGGCTGTATCAACATGTGACATGTTACACGTCAGAGAATGAGTACATACACTCAATTGAAGAATCGTTGTCGGGTTCAGAAACATAGAACATAGAAGCTGAGAACAAAATGGCACATGGGAAGTACGTTAATTAGATGCATGCTGTGACCGGCGACCCGTGGCATCATCCACTGTTTTTAATACGCCTTTTAGGCATTCTAAACCGGCTGCATGGATGACGCAAATATATACATGATTATAATATAATTATGTCATTTTCCATGTGCCATTTCGGTCTAAGCTTCTATGTTCTATGTTTCTGAACCTGACAACGATTCTTCAATTGAGTGTATACTTACCTTTCCATAGAACATGAAATTCTTAAACCTACTATTGGACTTGCCTGGATTGGATTCTAAAACCAAAGAAAAGAATAGCTATCATCATCACATTCCATCATATCAAAGATTATTATCAATTATTGATATTTACATTGATTTCAATGTTTATCATGTTCATCCATGTTATTAACAGTGTTGGCAATAATCACAAGCATTTCTTACCATAGTAAATACGAATACGATTTTTTTGGTTCAAACTAACCTCTCCATTCATGAAATTCTAAACAGACTTCTGCATCAAATCCTAAACTAAAGTAGTTGTTCATCACATTGAGTGGAAGCTGAATATAGAAAACATAGTTACATATTAATTTTTGACATAATATAAGTTTTTAAATGATATTTATCAAATTTTGAAAAAATTCAATGAAGAAAAACACAATACGAATCAGTCACCCTGGAGAAGTCTGTAAATTGGATGCGGAAAATCGTCCTCATTCGTATTAACACTCACTTTCTGGTTTTCTTGGTCAAACTCACTCCAATCTCGTAACTTCATAGCAGAACATGGAATTATACTCAGACCATACATTTGACAAACAATATGCAATACATTCTTATGATATGTATGCAGGGTTCATGCTGAGGTAACCACTTAAAATTCAAGGACTATTCAAGGAGTTTACAAGGACCCAAAAATGAATTTTCAAGGAGTATGTTCAGCTAACTATGCCAAGGTTTTGCACGGTGGTTGCACATGGCCGACTTTCAGATTTTCCGATCTTTCTGACTAGATCTATTTCAGAACCATGCAAGTAATGATCAAAGCAAGTGCCCTTGAAAACGTGAATTAAATTCAAGACGTTTTCAAGGAGTTTAAGGAGTAGCACAAACCCTGTGTATGACCTACTACAGGAATTAAATGGCTTATATCTACCTTTAGTGAATGTGCCCTCACCCCTAGATTCTTATATTTATTATCAATAATACCCCAGAGGAAAAGGCATATATGCTAAAGTAATGTCACCCTTGGTTCCTTGAAGTAAAATGGGTGAGATAAAAAAAACCTGTTGAATCATTTGTTAAGAGTAGGGGATTGTCTCCCGGTTCAACAGCCTCTCCCTGTCTGGAGGCATAACACTAAATGTACTAACAAATCATTCATGATTGTAAGCTGCATGGCTGCTAATAGCGCCTTAACATGCAGCTCGAAAGTCTTCCACTGATCTATATGAATTCATCCTTTACCTTTACCTTTCCTGACCTTTATTGAAATCATAATTATTGTCAAGCACCTTGGATTAGGGAAATTAATAGTTAGTTACCTTGTGAACCTTTGGAACATCATCATCACTAATGTCTCCACTTTCATTTGCGGTAACATCTAGATTCCACCTGGAATTTGAGAACTGACTTGATTAAAAATGAAAAACAACCTAAAAAATGTGTGCATGCTGCATAAATGCGGCAGAAGTGATTTGCAAGCATGTTGTAGATGTACATTTGTTTGCATGAAGGAAGCAATATCATACGCATTGAATGCAGAAATATTTGCAAAAACAAAAATTCCAATTTCCATTTAATCCAGTAACTGTCTATATATTCGAAACAGGCACAACACATGCAGCAAATCACAGAGCAAAGTGCAAATGTATGACCAACGAAATCTCATTTGACAGCAAAAAGCCTGCGGTGCACCAAGTGCAAATATAGTTTACAACAGGAGGGGGGATCCAGGGGGTGCAAAAAGGGACTGTAGCTCCCCCTTCCGAATGTTGGTCATGTTAATTACTTGAAGTGGAAAAGAAAGCATATTTCTAAATATTATTTCCAAGTTCTGTAGTGTCATTCACAAAATGTGGTTAAGGGCCCCCTCTAATATTTTTAGCTAAATCCACCCCTGTACAATAAATGTGGTTATACTTTCATGTGTCATGCTGTAATACTGTACCTGTCAAGTTGTACTACTGTGCCTTCCTCAACATGTGTTAGAATCTTAGATAATGGTTCATCAGCATATCCCTAAAAAAGAACAGAACAAGAATAATGTAATAAAATAATGTCTACCTACTCTCTGCCACAAGGGACAAAAAATCAGAGTTTGCACCAGAATCTCTCAATTTTGCACTAGAGTAGCTAATGAGATCTGTGAAAGGCATTCTAATAGTCCCTTTCACCTGAGTGAGTTCCCTGCGCCATTTTGAAAAATAGTCATACCTTTGCACCAAAGCGAGACAAATGGTGAGCTTGCAATCATAGAGACCTTTTTTAATACCTTGGACAATTATTTATATCCTATCCTTGCAAGCTCACCATTTGCCTCTCTTTGATGCAAAGACATGGCTACCTTTCAAGTTGGCACCAAGAAATGTGAAAGGGACTATTCTATTTGTTATTTAGCCATGCACTGGCTTCAATAAGCCCTGAAGTTTTTTCAAGTTTCCATACAAATTGATGGAGACAGCCATTTAAAAGTCATTCGATTTTATTTTTTTGGGAAATGTAAGCTTATTTAATATTAAGATTTTTGGAATGAAAATGTATGATGCCAGAAAAATGTGATTTCTGCAACATGGAGAACCAAGAGAAACCAAACATTCCAAAAAATACTTACCCCTCCCCAGTTGAGTACTCTTGATAAATCATTCCCAGTACCAAGAGGTAAGATAGCTACTGGTGGGGGAGGGGAGACCTTCAATTTGTCCAGCTCAGAAAGAACCCATCCAACCTGCATGGAATAGATGGTGGTTAGTTATCAATCAATAACAAAATTTATCTTCAACAATTCACAAATGGGACAAGAAAATGTGAGAAAAATGACAAATGAAATGAGAAAAATGTAAGGAAAGTGGACAAGAAATGAGAAACAAAATATGAGTGCAAACAAGATAAGAAACATGATAGTGGGACACAACAATGGGATGAGAAAATGAATGACAAAAATGAGAGGCAAAATAGAACAGGAAAAAATGGAAGAAAATTAAAGACAAAGTGCAGCAAGAAAAAGAAAAGATATGGGAGTAAAAAAATAATAAGAAAATGGGAAATGTCTTTGCTGCAGAGACATTAATCTGTAACTTACAGTTCCATCGCCTCCACAAGCAAGGATTCTTAGGTTAGGCACTTTACGATAAAGCTCCAGTCTGCAACCACAGAAACAAGAGTTAGAACTGATACATCAAATATTTGCCAAACACTGAACAATCATCATTACAAAGGCACACAATTAGACATCAGACATAGAATCAAAAATTATAAAGATAAAGAGAAATTAATGCATTGTACTAGAGGATTGGAAACAAACTACATTGTATGTTATATGCAAGGCAAGATGGTTTCTCCACACAAATTAATTTAACTACTCACCCTTCTTTTGGTCCACTACTAGATAAATCAAAAACCTAAAAGTAAAAAAATACAAGAAAATGTAAAAAAGTATGCTACAAAGCATTTTTTATTACTTGCCAAGGAGATGTAAATTTTGAACAACAGCTAGTTGAATGTATTATAGTCTAGCTTCTCAAATGTCATAGATTGAAAACTGTAGATGATTAACACATTATGAAGCTCAAATGCTTATGATATTACTGATTAGAATGTCTTATTTTTATTGCAGGTCAAACAACACTTTTCCTAATTCATGTATCATGCTCCGCTGTGATAATAGAGCAGGTTTTGAATGTTATTTAAGGGTGACACATATGTTCTTAAAGGAACAGCAGTAGCTCAGTTGGTTAGTAAGCAGCCTACAGAGCTAGAGGTCTATAGTTTGGTCCTCAGGATCTCCATGTTTATTTTAACTACTCTCTTATCCATGTAGCTTCAGCTTTGAATTCTCTTAAAATAGATCACTGATGAAGAGAGGGAGCAAAGTCAGGGACGACCACAGAGTGAGTTTTGGATTTGGAGGAGGGGGGGGACTTATATTTCAGAAATCTCTTCCGAATGCTGAATTTTATACCAAACAGAATATATAAAGTGAATAAATTAGAAATAGGCCGGGGCACTCTTAACCCTCAGCTCTGTGGTCCCTGAAAGTGCACAGTGTCACCTTCCTGGATAGCAACCTATTAGGTGAATGAACTACTGGCACTAAATATAGTTATATATGTTACTTTATGTTTCCATACAATGTATGGTTATTTGCTATACCCTATATAGCTATCAAGCCCAACACTTTTATTATCCATGGCCATTAACTATGATAATTCTGATCAGTCAGGTTTATTTTACATGACCCACCTGTCTTGGATTCAGAAGCCACTGAAACTTGTGCATGATTTTTGCACCCTAAAAACAATGTCAGTTACTGTAATTAGTTCTGTATAAGGTTCATTAGTATTCAATAAATAAAACTTTTATTCAGTGTTGTTTTTTTTTACTTGATTAAAGTGGAGAACCCAGAGACAAAACCGTGAATTAAGACAGCGACCCAACAAAAACTGTACTGACATGTGATAGTGAGTTGAGGATTTGAACTTAAGATAATTATTGGAGGTGAGAGACAAGTGTAATACACCACCTTGTAAGTTCTAAACAATACATACCTGGTTGCCTCCACTTTTAGGGTTGATGAAGATCAAAAGTGGCTTTTTCTGTGCTGACCCTGAAGGTTTGATCTAGAAACAGGAAAAAGATTAAACTTTGGAGGGTTATCTATGATGGCCTAGCAGGTAAGTAGGTAGGTAGGTCAGTATGTGGGTAGGTCTTTAAGTGGGTAAGTAGGGAGGAGGGAGAGGGGTAGGTAGTTAGGTAGGTAGGTGGATGGCTAAGTGGGTAGGTAGGTGGGTATGGATAGGTAGGTGGGTATGGATGGGTAGGTGGGTGGGTAGGTAGGTAGGAAGGTGGGTGGGTAGGTAGGTAGGTGGGTAGGTAGGTGGGTAGGTGGGTGGCTAGGTGGGTGGCTAGGTGGGTAGGTAGGTAGGTGGATACGTAGGTAGGTAGGTGGATAGGTAGGTGGGTGGGTAGGTATGTGGGCAGTTAGGTAGGTAGGTAGGTAGGTGGCTAGGTGTGTGAGTAGGTAGGTGGCTAGGTGGGTGGAGGGGTAGTTAGAAGAGGACTGCATGAAATAGATACATAGCTAAATGTTCCAGTTTCTGGAGACAAAGAGACTACATTTCAAGTAACACCCACACGTCTCTTGAATAAATGTAAAGAATCTCAATACATGTTCTTACCACGAATGGTTTTCTTTCCTGAAAAAAGTATTAAGAAAAGCAATCAGTCTGAGTTAGATTAAATTTAGATTAAATTTCCCATTAGTTATTTGGGTCATTTTGATGTGCTTGATGTGAATTTGGACCCATTTTTGAAATTTGAAAAAAAAACAAAAAAACTGTCAGCAAGGAAGGAATTTTTCTTTGAAACAAATCTGGCCAGATCCTTGAAGTCAAGTTGATTCTGTCCCTTCGTTCGCTTCAATAAAATTCCAACGTCCATCATTTTGGCAACAAAATTTCCAAGTTTGCTATATTTGTAATCTTATCTTACCTTGGTTGATTTTCTTTTGATTGATCTTTTTTTGAAACTGTTTCGTTTTACAGATCCTGATCTTCCCTACATGAAAACAGAACAGTTAGTTGAAAGTTACTGCGTTTCAATTATTCTCTCCCAATGGTGTAACACACCTTTCTTAGTTTACAAGGGCCCTCTTATCACACACTTGACTTCCAATATAAAATGGGTTTTCCCTGACAGCATAAATTTATTTTATTTTCCTTCCAAGGGATTGATATACTAAGATTGTACCTTCCTGGGTTTTCCCTGATGCAAAGTGGGTTTTCCCTGATAGCGTCTGACATTCTTATTGGATGGTCATATTACCTTTCTGGGGATCTTAACAATCCATGATGGAGGAACAATAAGATTTGCATGGGCACCAAGATCACAAGGCTCATCTATTTTTTTCATCTCAAAGCATTCTACTTTATTATGATACTAAAACGACAAAATATATGAACTTTCAGTAGTGTATCGACAGCCCAGAGGTTGTTTCAGGGTTCAATCTGTGAGTTAGCCATGCCCCGACTTAGATCAGCCCAGAGGTTGTTTTTTGAGGGTTCAAACTGTGAGTTAGCCATGCCCTGACTTAGATTAGCCCAGAGGTTATTTCAGGGTTCTATCTGTGAGTTAGCCATGCCCGACTTTGATAGGCCCAGAGGTTATTTCAGGGTTCTATCTGTGAGTTAGCCATACCCTGACTTTGTTCAGCCCAGAGGTTGTTTCATGGCTTAATCTGTAAGTCTGCCRTACCCTGATTTAGATCAGCCCTGGATTATCTCGGGTTCAATAAAATGTCAGTTTTCTTTCTTTCCCCTGTAAGCTCTACAGAACTTTGTAAGGTAGCATGTAGCATGTTACTTCAGTCAAAACTCATTGAATATTAATTATTCCATTTTTCTGGTTAAAAAAGGTTCAAAATATGTTATTACTTACAGCAACTTTACACCATGAACAACTTATTGATATAATGTCCTGTTTAAAAGAAATAAATAAATGAATATTTATTAAAAAAAACAGAGCAAACCATTCCTGCCATAGTTTTTCTCCTTCTGCAAATCCTAACAAACTAATTAAAACAGCAATTTTAATCTGTGAGTAAGTTATGCCCTAACTATGATCAGCCATGAGGTACCTGTAGTTTTAGGATATCAATAAAATCTGAAAGATAATTCTCTAAAATTGGCAGGAAACAAGTTTGAAAAGTCCTTTGTCCAACGTGTGTGACCATGTTTGGTCTGTCTGTTCTTTATTAAGCTAGCGCGCGTAAACTAATAGGAAAATAGAGGACTTTGTGAAACTCTAATAACTACCTGATGGTTCCAATGAGCACTACTCTGAACCAGGAGTATATATATTTTACAACCATTCCTCTCTGTAAAGGGTCTTTCATGAGGTTTGCTCACTCTACGTTATTATTAAATTCGCTATTCACAAAACATGACACTCAAATCACTAACCGTTCAGTACCTTATTTTGAAATGACAGCATGTGTTGAAATGACTGAAACAAACAGATATTCAAACAACAATTCATTTTCTATAATAAATAAAAAAATAAATTAACTTTGTTTATAGAGGATAACACTTGACAGTAATTCAACTGATAAACTTGTGGTCCTCTGTTAACGTCTCTAGTTAATTAGGGACGGGACCGCCATTAACATGATCATCCGAACCACATGAAGGTCTAACCATTTGCAGATGTAATTACAAAAGCAGCACCTTCTCCTCAGTTATTTTAACAGACTGACGCTCTTACCAACTGAGCTAACCGGGTAGCAGTCAAATATCATATTTTTCAAATATTTTTCAACCAACAATATCTGGATATTTCCTCTTAAAGCCACAAAATGTGCCATGACAAAAATTAACAACTAAAATAGAGTAATAAAAGAACAGAATAGAATAAAAATTTTGGAATGGGATGAAGAAAAGGTGTGATGGAATTTGGAATAGAATACAAAGAAAACAGAGATGAGTTAGGCCTAAATTGGAGTAAAATTGAATGGAATGGAATATGATGAAATGGAATGGAACAGAGAGTAGAATAGAATGGAATAGATAAGAATGGAATAGAATACACTGTAGAATGGAATAAAATAAAAAGAATAGAATGGAATGGACCAGAGTTGAATAGTAAGGAATAGAATAGGAAATTATAAAAAAGAGTGAAATAGCATGAAATGTAATAATTTTCAAAACCTGTTTGACAGCTACTCTTATATGATCCTATAATTAGACTAACCTTTCCACAGTGTTCACACTTGCCCTCCTGTTTCCTTCTGTGTACCCAATGGTGTCTTATACTACCCTAATAATAAATAGAACATGCACATTCATTGGTTAAAATTCATTTGTGTCAGTCTTTGATTTCCTTGATAAACCATGTTTATAGGTGACAAAAATTAGATTAAGGATCACAGACAGCCCAATCATGTAGAGGAGGTGAGGGGGGAGGGGTAGCGAGTTCTACCATTTTTCTGCATGCCAATGTGGTGTTCAAGAAATTATCTATACCTACCCCAAAGAGGAATTTGGGATTTCCGAAGGGTTGGGGTCAGAGAAAGAACAAAAATTACAGAGTTTGTATGGAAGAAAGTTGATATTTCTGGGGGTGGGGGGGGGGAGGATCCTCCATGAGAGGGGTATGGATAATTTCTGGAACTATACAAAACAAATGAGAACAGATGTATGTATTTCTAACTAGTTAATATTTAGAGTCTACTGCCATATCAATAGGCTTAGTAAATATTTTGGGGAACAACCAGCCCTCCTCCCAATCATTATATTGAAAGATTTTTTCATTGTAACATACCTCTTGTACACCTTTGGTTTGAATTTCTCGAAATGTTGGCTTGCATCTGAAATTAATCTATAAAACAAAACACCCAACACTTATACAAAGTATCTCAGAGATTACAAGGTGATTTGCACCAATATTGTTTTTATTGTCAGTATAGTTATCTAATATTTGGACTTACTCTTTCTAACTGTTCGATGCATTTGGTATGGACGACAATCTTACAAGCTGAGGAGCAATAACATTTTTACACAATTAGTTACTGCAGGATATGCTTTTGATGAGAATATCAGAAATCAAATCTCAATAGACGAAACAAATATTGGCTGCAATTCATTTCTTTTATATACCCAGACTCTATGTATCACCTGAATGTCCTTTTAATACTCCATTTTACAGTTTGATTTAAAATTGATTTGATGAAAATAGGTGGCTAATAATATGTGGTTCTTGAATGTGAAGTCATACACATATTTACAACACTACAATTCTCTCATTACCTGTACATTTCTTTCTCGGACCAGATTTCTAAATATAAAATAAAGGAAAAGCATACAAGTAAGAATCATTTTATATTTGCTTGTAAAGACACGTCTTTCTCAGGAACCCAGAAAAAAACACCCCTGGGCACAAAGTGTGTTGGAGATTGTTCCAGAAGTCCAAGTTAATCTCTTTCCTGACTGTTGGACCCACTGGGGTTGACCAATAAGCATCAAGGATATGTAAACAAACATGTTATGGCATTATTTTGGGAAGCACCGGTGGGGTGCGCTGCTAATGCGCCGCCTCTCACCAATGCGGCCTGAGTTCAAGTCCTGGCGATCTCAAGTGTCGTATGTGAGTAGAGTTGTTTCTTGGTTGTCTCCTGTGCTTTGAGGGTTTTCTGGGTTCTCCGTTTTTCCTCCCCCCCCAAAAATCAACTTCTAAATTCTAATTCGATCTTTGGGCTTTCACCTAGTTTGGAGCCTAGCTCTGTTGTGATTGTCCCATGCTGTGATACAACAGCAAAAAGCTTTGTAGATTTTTTAATTTTATTTTGAATTCCAACTTGACCTCCGGGTTCCCGTGGATGGTAAAAATTTTGTATAGATGTTTTTAAATTTGAAAAATACAACTGTGCAATATGGAGACTAAGAAAATAAATGATATAAAATATATATGATAAATGGTACATAGCCAATCATCTAGAGTGTGCCACAGGAAGCCCAACATAAAATAAAAGACAATGCTTACCACACATTCATAATCAGACAGATAACAGAAGTTAGCAGAAGCATCTGAGTCGATCCAAAAATGTCTTCCATTAACAGCATTATCCTGCAACCAGGAGAAAGATAATGTGAGCTTAGTTACAACTACCTTCTAAGCTCTTTTACAGGCATGTCATTTTGTGTACAATGTTCATCGAGAGAGCTCGAAAAGAGCATTTTTAAACGCTATGACTTAGTACTGAATCTAGACCATTTTTGAGTTCCAAATTACCGATGTGTGCCTTGATTACAAACTTATTTACAGTACTCAGGCTTAGCCTTGTATCAGTGTCTAAATATTCATAAATAATACACAACTTCAACAATACCAACACTGGAACACATGAATATTCTGCACAAGGCTCACTGAGACATTGAGACAACAGTCGAGACAGGGAAATTGGGTGATACCTTCCGTCAATCAAATAAATTGATCAGTACCTCCATATTCTCTGATTGGCAGCAGTGTATTGCCCTATTTCCCTGTTGCAACTGTTGTCTCGATCAGTGCGTTGCAGTAAAAAGAGTGTTAATAGTCCCTTTTCTCATTCCATAAATACCGCTGCGTTTTAAGACTGAAGACTCATCTGCACTTAGTCTCACTCAGGAGTAAATCATTTGCAAATGCCAACTTTAATGCAAAGAATGTGCAATTTGAACAATACCAATGTTTTGAAATCCCACAGACTTTTAATGGTATCTGTGAATAGTTGACTTATAAACAAGCCTAAGCCTGTGAAAATGAGTCTGTGGTCTTTAAAAACAGCAGTATGCAAAAGCTAAATTATACACCGTGAAAAGATGAAAATACTGATGTTTCGAATGCTAGTCCTTCGTTGGAGTAAAAAAGAGTAGTGGTAGTAGTGTGTGTGTGAAAGTGCGCCAATTCGGAAACCACCCCTTAATTAACACTGTATTTGTACTTAAAATAAAGATTAAAAAAAAAATTCCTATCCCCTCTACTAGCCATGTTTAAGGAATATTAACTAGTCCTACCTATTATTAGTCATAATTTATTACTTACTGTCCAATCAGAGACATCAGAAGTGCTGCATGAAGCTGCCATCATTTCATGGTTGTCACAGCGATCTGTCTGAGATGATGGCTTGCAATTGATATCAGGCGTGGCCATTGCTTGCCTGGAATTAATCAAAATATTTGGTAATTAAGTCGCTGGGTGCAGAATAGACAACTACGTGTACTTCAAATGAACTGTCTGCAATTGGCCAACTTAAAATTAATCTTTTTTTACTGAGAAAGAGAGCAAGTGTAGTATTGCTATGTCGTACATGAAATTATAGATCCCGAGAAGAATTGACCTAATTCACTATGACGTCACTGCTTGTTTATGTGGGGGATAGAATCGCCAAATCCAATAGAAAATTCAACAAAATTTGCTCCTAGCGAAACAGTTTAATCTAAAATGGCCTGGTTTTCAGATATAATATGTGTTAATATGTACTAAAAAATATTCTGAGCGTTTGCTGCCTATTCTACTTCTCTTCGATGAATGATACGGAATTTAGAACAATTTTCGGTTAGTTTGCGTTGATTTGACCCGTCCGACGACCCTGATCCTTTGCGTTTAAACAATAGATTGTTGAAGATTGTTTTGAAGTGACGTCATAGTGAAATAGGGCAATTGGTTTTGAGGTTTTTGTATTGCATAAAAAAAGACAGTCTATTGTTTTGTCCCCCAGAACAATTCCCCTAGGGAATAACAATAGTGGAGTGGGAAAGCTTGTAAAAGACAATGCAAAAAGCGAATTTTGATCAAGTACAAAGTCATATTCATTATCTAGATCTAACAGTATTTAGAATCTTGTCATACTTTGAGCATACAGAATTTACTGTACTTATGCCTTGACAATTTTAATCAATAAATTCTAACATAAAGACTTCATTACTGTAAATAATAAATAACAGATTGGCAAAGGAATACTATCCAGAGACAGTTCTGACAGAAAAAAGCAAAGTGAAAAAAATATTATTCATCATTTACATGTAATTTGTTCAAAATTATCATAAATACCAGGCTAACAGTAAAATAAAATTAAAAAAATAAAAAGAGAGGGAGAGAAATGGGAGAAATTCTATTAAGATAAATTATGATTTCTTGTGATAGTTTTAAATGGGTCTGAGAACACAGGTTAGTTTAACTTGGTTTTGGTGTTAATTATTTATTGAGATAAGAATTTAGCATTCACAAGAAAACCTTTCCTTAAAATCTAATAAAATGCTCCATAAAATGCTGATAAAATGTGTCATGCCGTGGTTGTCGACTCGAAAGTTTTAACTATTTCGACAACCACACACACCATACATTAGCTCTTTCTCTTATGATTAATTTATTTTCAACTTTCTTGTCATTATTCATTAATATTACTCTTGTGAATACTTGTATATATTTATGTGTGTGGGAATCAATAAAATGTTCAATGTTCATGAAAGGAAAAGTTTTCTTTTTCTTTTGCAAAATATTATAATATTTAATGCTCTTAGGCTGCCCTCATAATGTATGATCCCCCTAAATTTCACCTGCCCCCCCTCTGCCATACATTATGAACTCAGCCTTATGAGATGAAAGAAAAAAAATACATCGACTAGTATATAGTATACATGTATCATCATATCTGCAATCAACATATGGTACCAAATACTGATAACTTCCTTAAATGTGCATAATTATATCATAAATGATATATTCAAAAAACATTACTAATAAAGCCACTATTTTTATGCTCTGTTCTAGGTAATGCAATAAGATATGTCTCAAGTTGAGATCGGCAACTAAGCTATATTGCTCCATACACATAAATATTATAGCTTATAAACATGGGTTGATTAAATTATGCACTCTAGTTCAGGTGTGTGCGAAATTTATACAAAAACACGAAAATTCAACCTTCAAAACAGGTGGATTTTTCTCAAATTAGGATATTGAATTAAAATAAAGGAGTATTCAATTAAAACTCATTTATTAATAATTTATTAAAGCTAAGATCTATACTTTCTCCACAAATCATTGATGAGGAGTACTTAGGTCAAAAACGATTAAAACTCTTATGAAAATATAGAGCTATAAATTTAAAGAAATATGGTACTTGAGAATATGATATTGAGTATTGTTTGTGGGTTAGCAACCATTATTCCTATACCTTTTAGAAGTATGAGTGCGCGTGAGGTAGGGGTGGTAGGGTGGGGAGGGGTGTTAATGCATGTAAGCATATCACCTAATGTTCTAAATTACTTACCCTTCGGACTCCCATTGTTAATTAAGTATGCAAATTTCTATTGTTCAGTATTTCATTTTCGTAAACCCTAAAACTTTTGTACAGATATTTTTTCCCGTGTTTTGTACCTGTCAATATCAAAGCAACCCTTCCTTGAGAACAGTTAAGAATAAAATTGATTTCATATCGACATTTTTTAGAGCTATCGTTATGAAAAAAACCTACAGCTATGTCTAACATGAAAATAGAAATGGCAGAACCAATTAAATAAAACAACGTAAGTCATGAATTTTTAATTTTTATAAGTATATTTTTCTAATTGATGTAACTTTTATGGTAAGAGCATTAAAAGTCAAATTTTTTTCTTCTTTTTTATATTCCTAGATTTTCCCTTTCACACTTGGATTATAACGAATTTGAAAAAAAAAGCCCTTCATGTTATTCATTCGGTAGAAGGCCACCAGTTTATGAAATTATTTATCTTACTTAACGATTCTAGGCATTCTTATTCATATTTTACATTAAGTTCAATATAGGAAATCTAATTCCAGGTATTTTTATTAAAAAAATCCCCGATAAAGTGCCTCAATATTCCTTATCAGAAGACAACCTTTGACTCCACCGTTTTATTTCCGATCGAAATTAAATATAAATACGAAAATTAATATTTTCTTTCAAGACAAGAATTGTTGGATTATTGTGGCGAACATCGATAAGCTAAAGCAGCTTCGATTTGATCGCTGCATTTTAAAACAACAAAAAAATATTTCGTATCTATTTTACAATGAATTTTATTTTTCAAGAGCCGAGACAAGGAAGTAACTATATGAATATTCAGTTTGGTTCAATGTTATTTTAAATTCCTGGTGATTTAACGAATAAAAAGAAAAACTCGTTGAATGTTAAATGAAGGTTCGATATGACTGATATTTTTTAAACACAAGCCCAACCCCAGGGATCATGGAATAAAATGCCGAACTCCAACCTAACTTGACCACAACATAGCTAAAATAATATTCTATCTAGATATATGAATACTTAATATTATGGTCAGAATTCAAGAGAAGAAAGCTTACTTATAAGAGCGAGACTTAGCTGCTCCTCGCGAGACTTTCGAAGCATTCTGAAGTGAAGGTCGTGTTTCGTCTTCGACATCTTTGACTTCGAGCAAGTTTTCTTTGTGCCCTTTTGATTTCCCCGCCATCTTAAAGCACCCAGCATAACTTCAATAACGGTTTTAGCATTTCTCAGGTCAGTTGGAGCTCATTCACGGGTTTTTCCCACAAAATGAAGGCAAATTTGTTGATGATTGCGGTTTACAGTTCGACTCTAAAAACTAATGTTGACTGAACCACACTGCTTGCAAGGCATTGTGGACAGCGCGGGGGCGAAACGGGACGCGACTCAATGTTTTTATGTCTTCCATATTTTCATTTTAATGAACATTGTACCAATCTATAATTGTCAAGCTTATTTACAAAACTACTAGAAAAATAAGTTTGGTTGAATTAAACTATTTTAATTGCTTTTTTGGACTTCGAGTTTGCATAAAATGTCTGTCAGTCTTAGAGCGATATCGGTCAGAAAGTAATCGCAAACTTCCGTATTATTGCTTCACTGTTGTAGTTTCGAAACGAGAAACTCATGGTATAGTTGCTGTTTCTGTTCTGGGAACGAACTAGAAAGGGAATTCCCTTTGTTATCTGGAAACAGAAACCTTGATATGACAAGATGGTTGACAGCCAAACCGCTCGCCTTGAAGTTATAGGTGTATTCCGCGTTAGGTTTCTAATGAAAGTGAAATTTTTTCTGCACAAATCGAATAAAATGTAGCGTCTTTAAGTCTATACCAAGAGACTTTTGCTCACTTTTTACTGCGGTTTCTAATGAAAGTGAAAAAGTTGCAGGATAAAATGTAGCTTCTTTAAGTCTATACTTTTGCTCACCTTTCTTTCTTTCTTTCTTTCTTTCTTTCTTTCTTT